TCGGGGGGCTGGGGTGTGCTGGAGGTCGGGGCCTATGGGGCACCGGGGTCTGCTGAGGGTCGGGGCTGGGATGTGCTGGGGCCTGCTGGGGCTGGGGCCTACGAGGGGCCGAGGCCTGCTGGGTGCTGGGACCTCTGGGGACCTGCGGCCTGCTGGGGGCCAGACTGGGGCCTGCTGGAGGCCACAGTTAGGGCCTGCTGGGGGGCCAGGGGTCAGTCAGCTCTAAAGCACAGGGTCCCCCCCAACCCAGCGCATCTTGCCTCTCCTCACTTTCCTCCCCCCCTCACACCCCTCCCAGAACAACCCGCAGGTGGCCCGCACGCTGGCCACCTGCCCCTTCAACGCCACGCACAGGGTGCCCCGGGCCGAGCTACAGAGCCATGTTGCCTCCTGCCCCAACAAGTTCCAGCTCGATCTCCCCAACGGTACAGCATGGGCCCCCCTTCACTGCCCTGGCAGCTGCGCTCAGCTGTGTCCCCCTCCTTTACAACTGTCCCCCCTGTCCCCACAGAGATGGGTCGCCTTGGTGACAGGATGAAGCAGACAGAGGTCCCCACGACCTGGCAGCCCCCCCCGTGCCAAGAGGACTGGGAGGCTGGTGAGTGTCCCTGAGGTGCCGAGCAGTGCTGCCCACAGCCGTGTCACCCCAAGGCTGGGCACACCCCTGACTCCTCACCCTTTACAGAGCTGGAGAACCTGGAGGACACTCCGCCGTTCATCCTCAACATCAAGCCCAACAACCCACTCCTCCTGTGTGACAGGTAGGAGGCCAGAGCAGCGGAGACGTCTCCGCCCTGAGTGCCCGCATTCGGGTGTGCGTCCCCCAGGGTGCTGCCCACACCGACAGCCCTGGTCCTCTCTTGTCCCCCAGCTCTGCCCCGTCAGCACCCATGAACCTGAGTAGAGGCGGGAGAGCCACAGGACACCCTGCAGCGGGTGCGGAGTGACGGGCACAGGAGGAACCGTGGACGGTGGCAGCAGGACCAGGGCAGAGTTCATTTCTCCCCCAAAACCAGGGAAGCAGCACCTGGGCTGCAGCTACGGAGCAGGGGGGTTGTACTCACAGGTTTTAAATGCATATTATAAATTTTAAACGCACATTACAAACATTAAATGCACGATACAAATTTTAAATGCACAGCACAAACATTTAATGCACGTTACGAATTTTAAATGCATGTCACTTCCCTGTGAGTGTGCTTGGTGTCTTGTCACATGGGGAAGACGGAAGGGACCCTGTGGGGTGGGGACCCCCCGACGTGGGCACAGCGTGGGGCATGGTCTGTCCGCTCCTCCCACGCTGCGCTCCCAGCCCCAGTTCCACGTGCCCTTGTGGCACCATCGAGTCATGGGCAGGGCCTATTGCCCCCCACTCTGAGGGGGCTTTAACACCGTGGGGGGGACAGAGGGCAACAGTTCCAGTGCACAGCAGTCTGTCAGTCTCCCTGGGCCTGTTTGTGTCCCTGGCACCTCTCAGCTCACCCGTGACCCTGTATCCCCCCAGTATGTCCCTGTATCCCCCCCAACGCCTGCCCATGTCCCTGTCACCCCCCCAGTGTATCCCAATAAGCCCCTGGGACAGCCCATGTCCCCTCCACACACCCTATTGTGTCCCCTTACCCTCCCTGTGTGTCCCCATAACGCCCTGGGCCACCCCATGTCCTGGTCACACACCCCCAATATGTCCCCAT